TATTAAGGAGTTAATAAGTGAAGAAGTAATTAAAGACTATCTATTACTCTCTAGCAATTGCAAATGTTGTTCAAAATGAAGCTAAAAAAAATATGTGAAAATTTAGATATAAAATATTTTAAGACGCAGGATATTACAAATATTAAGTTTAAGCTCGTAGGTTTAGCAAACTCACACCTTATTGGTAAATTTAGTATAAAAGCTGATATTACTGAAGCTGTAAAATTTTTAATTAAAAAAAATTATCAAGTAGAATGATTTTTTGTTAGAAAATCATTTATGGTTTTTGTTTCACAAATCCAAAGCAATCAGAAAACCTAATGCACTATGGTTGGCTAACTCTTATAGACTCAATACAAAATACTAATAAGCATGGTTGGAGATTGTTTATATTATATATTCAAGATGGCTATAGTTGTTAGAATGTAGATACATATTTCTATGTTAGTAATGAAAATAGTGAAACTGTAATATCAGCATTAAAAATTATTCGAAAGTTTGCCTCTCACTGGAATCCACGATACATGCTTCTTGATCAAAGTAGTATAGAAGCTAATGGTATTGAAGTGATCTTTTCAGGTTCTTAAGCTGGAGAACAAGAGTGTAGTATTCTTTTTTGCATGGTTTATATTATATGTATATAGATGAAAAATATATATCACAGATCAACTTTTGACCAAATGATCCAAGCAATGCATAAAAGAACTCAGGTTAGATGTGAAGATATTATTCAAAATGCTATAGCCAATTGTTCTGTTCTCGCAGTTATTAGATATATTACCAGAAATTACTTAAAGAATTCAGATAAATGGGCTCTTTGGGCTCGACAGCACTCACCTCTTCTTCTTCAGATCATATCCACAAATCCTCTTGAATCTTATTACAGTGAGCTTAAGACAAAAACCTCAAACATGCATGATCTAATTAGCATGTATTTTTTGTCTATTAGGAAGTTTTAAAAGTATTAACTCAACGTATCAAGACCAGACAATATTAATTTAAAAAAAAAAACAAATTAAAAATAAATTAAATAACAAAGATAAGGTATTCATTATGTATTTTCCAAAATCTACTAAGGTGAAAGATTACAATTACGAAACTGATGTTGAAAAAGATAAAGCTGTTAGATTGGTCTCGTAAATACAAGAATAGTTAAGCAGAAATAAAAGTATTGAAATCCACTAGGGTAGAAGATTATAATTATGAAACTGATGTTGAAAAAGATAAAGCTGTTAGATTGAACTCATAAATACAAGGATAGTCAAGTAGAAATAAAAGTATTGATAACTGCATCAAGGAATTTTAACTAAAACTATGAGTCACTTGGATATTATCAATTTCTTTTAATAAACTCAAAGATATTCAAAAAAATAGAATAAAAGATTAGAGATGAATTTTCAACAATATGATTTGATAGTATATGAATAATTTCAAATAAATTTTGAAAATATACGCAGTTACGTATATCATCATATAGAATAGTATTTAAACCTTTTTCTGACTCTTATAATTTATTGACTTTTTGAAAGAAGTAAGTAAATAACTTATTTTATTGGCTGTGAATAGTTCTCTTTAAT